CTCACCTGGCCTGTGAGTCTGTGCTCGATAATGCTCCACGTCGCAGTACTGATACGCACATAAGCAGGAGAATCGTTGTGGGTATGCCAAAGGTCAGAGGGTGCCAGAGGTCAGGTTAAACGGGTAGAAAGCCAAGGTCAGAGGATGCCAAAAGTCAGGATACACAGAGTAACAAGCCAAGGTCAGGAGCCAACTAGAGAACACTGGAACACAAACTGCAATACGTGAACCAGAGTCAATGAACTGACACTGCCCTCTGGGAGAGGCAGTGTCTTATACCTGGCTAATGAGGCCATCAGCTGAGAATATTGGAGCATCCAGAGAAAATGTCCAGTTCTGCTTTTTGTCACATTACCATGAGATTTTATTTAATTGCATTCACTTTTGTGAAAGGAGACAAATGGGACAGCGAGTTAAGTTACACCAAATATGGGTATAAAATGCCACAGCTGATTTATTGAAATTAATTGTCCCGCAAAACCTAATAAAACCAAAACCACCTAACTTTAACCCAAAACACCCAAGCTTGCCAAGGCATGAAGGAGCCCTGATTAAAACCAATTTGGGGAGGGCATACCCAAGTGCCTGTCCCCTACCTAAGGTTCCCAGTGCTCAACCAGGAACCTCCCACCGATCATTACCACCAATCATAAAACCAGGCCTGAACCACCTGAATACCTAGGGATATCATATCTCCGACTGCGACAAATAAAACGAAATAGCACATACAGGGAAGGGGGGGTGGGACAACTTCACCGGGTTAATTAAAAAACTAAAATGGCCCCTTGACACCTGACTCACCACTACTTATAGCCTATCGAGTCCTCCCTCCACAATCTGCCCCGCAACTGACAGCCTAGCTTTGCTCAGTCCCCTGTCAGGGCTCCCTATGGTCTATTCTAACCCCGTGTGCTGCAGTAATAGATCTTTAGCTGGGGATATAAAGTGTTATGAAATGTTGTGCTGAATATGACAAGTAAAAGAGTTGTATGCATTCTCTCAATATTTCCAATTAACCTGAGCAATATTGTATGTTCCTTCTCATGTCTGTGCTTCACAATCCCTCTTCATCATAATTTCTCACAGCTTTCCTACCCCTGTGAGCTGCTAGAACCCCTTCCACACACCCTAGTTCTCCTAGAATTTTGCCACTTTCATCTTTTGCATTTGGGAGATCAGTTTGCGTTGATATTCTTTGAATGCAAAAATAGCCGTCATTGTATAACCTCTTGAGTGCTCTCCTTTTAAAGCACTTAAAATAAAATCTCATGTGCTTGAACAACATTAAAGTCAGAAGGAAGCTCTGTGATATCTGCCAAGTATGTGTTTAATAATTTATTAGCTCTGTAAAACAAACATAGTCCTACGGCGTGCTTCTTGTTGAAGGATTACTCTGGAGGCACAATTAACATTGGGAGTCCCCGAGAGCTACTAATTCTTCATAATTCTCTGCCCTGCAGAGCTGATTAACATCCAGGAGCGATCTTTGCTGAGCAAGAGAAATAGAAAGTGGTTCTGGTTTCACAGTGAGGAATATGCTCACCCTTACAGGACTATTCTCTAAACTGGAGAAAGAATGGAATGTACAGCATCACGAATTGGACAGTGTGTATAACATGTGTCTGAGAGTGAGTGTGGCAGTGTGTATAACATGTGTCTGAGAGCTAGTGTGGAAATGTGTATAATGTGTGTCTGAGAGTGAGGCAGTGTGCATAATATGTGTCTGAGAGTGAGTGTGGCAATGTGTATAATGTGTGTCTGAGAGTGAGGCAGTGTGCATAATATGTGTGTGAGAGTGAGTGTGGCAATGTGTATAATGTGTGTGTGTCTGGGAGTGAGTGTGGCAGTGTGTATAATGTGTGTCTAAGAGTGTGTGTGGTAGTGTGTATAATGTGTGTCTGAGAGTGAGTGTGGCAGTGTGTATAATGTCTGTCTGGGAGTGAGTGTGGCAATGTGTATAATGTGTGTCTGAGAGTGAATGTGGCAGTGTATATAATGTGTGTGGCTAAGAGTAAGTGTGGCAGTGTGTATAACGTGTGCCTGAGAGTGAATGTGGCAGTGTACATAATGTGTGTGGCTAAGAGTAAGTGTGGCAGTGTGGTATTTGTGTGGCAGTATGTGTAATGTGTGTCTTAGAGTGAGTGTGGCAGTGTGTATAATGTGTGTCTTAGAGTGAGTGTGGCAGTGTGTATAATGTGTGGCGAGTAGCAGTGTGGTATTTGTGTGGCAGTATGTGTAATGTGTGTCTTAGAGTGAGTGTGGCAGTGTGTATAATGTGTGTCTCGTGTCCGTGTCTGTGAGTGCAGTGTGTGCAATGTGTATAATGTGTGTCTAAGAGTGAGTGTGGCAATGTGTATAATGTGTGTCTAAGAGTGAGTGTGGCAATGTGTATAATGTGTGTCTGAGAGTGAGTGTGGCAGTGTGTATAATGTGTGTCTGAGAGTGAGTGTGTGTAAAGAGTGAGTGTGGCAATGTATATAATGTTGTCTGAGAGTGAGTGTGGCAGTGTGTATAATGTGTGTCTGAGAGTGAGTGTGGCGTGTGGCTAAGAGTAAGTGTGGCAGTGTGTATGTGTGTCTTGAATGTGGCAGTGTATAATGTGTGTGGCTAAGAGTGTGGCAGTGTGGTATTTGTGTGGCAGTATGTGTAATGTGTGTCTTAAAGTGAGTGTGGCTGTGTGTGTCTTAGAGTAAGTGTGGCAGTGTGGTATTTGTGTGGCAGTATGTGTAATGTGTGTCTTAGAAGTGTGGCAGTGTGTATAATGTGTGTCTGATTGTGGCACAATTGTGTCTGAGACTCTATGGCAGTGTGTTGCATGTGTGTCTGTTGAGTGAGTGTGGCAAGGAGTGTAGTAACTGTAGTGTCTAAAGTGAGTGTGGCAGTGTGTGAATATGTGTGTCTAGAGTGAGTGTGACATGTGAAAGTTGTAATGTGTGTCTGATGCAGGAGAGTGTGGCAATGTGTATGTGTAAGTGTGTGTGTGTCTGAGCCTTAAGTGTGGCCAGTATGTGTAATGTGTGTCTTAGAGTGAGTGTGGCAGTGTGTATAATGTGTGTCTGGGAGTGAGTGTGGCAATGTGTATAATGTGTGTCTGAGAGTGAGTGTGGCAATGTGGATAATGTGTGTCTGAGAGTGAGTGTGGCAATGTGTATAATGTGTGTCTGAGAGTGTGTGTGGCAGTGTGTATAATGTGTGTCTGGGAGTGAGTGTGGCAATGTGTATAATGTGTGTCTGAGTGTGGCAGTGTGGCAGTGTATAATGTGTGTGGCTAAGAGTAAGTGTGGCAGTGTGGTATTTGTGTGGCAGTATGTGTAATGTGTGTCTTAGAGTGAGTGTGGCAGTGTGTGTGGCAGTGTGTGTGTGGCTAAGAGTAAGTGTGGCAGTGGTGATTTGTGGTAGTTTGTGTGTCTCAGTGTAGTGTGTAATGTGTGTCTTAGAGTGAGTGTGGCAGTGTGTATAAATGTGTGTCTGAGAGTGAGTGTGGCAATGTGTGTGAGTAGTGTTTGTGTGTGTCAGTGGCAATGTGTATAATGTGTGTCTGCGAGTGAGTGTGGCAATGTGTATAATGTGTGTCTGAGAGTGTGTGTGGCAGTGTGTATAATGTGTGTCTGAGAGTGTGTGTGGCAGTGTGTATAATGTGTGTGGCTAAGAGTAAGTGTGGCAGTGTGTATAATGTGTGTGTCTGGGAGTGAGTGTGGCAGTGTGTATAATGTGTGTGGCTAAGAGTAAGTGTGGCAGTGTGGTATTTGTGTGGCAGTATGTGTAATGTGTGTCTTAGAGTGAGTGTGGCAGTGTGGTATTTGTGTGGCAGTATGTGTAATGTGTGTCTTAGAGTAAGTGTGGCAGTGTGGTATTTGTGTGGCAGTATGTGTAATGTGTGTCTTAGAGTAAGTGTGGCAGTGTGTATAATGAGTGTGTCTGATTGTGGCATGGATATGTAATATTGCCTCCCAATTGTTCTAGAACTGGAGATACTGCAATAATGGGTGGTTTTTATTCTATCAATGCACATTAAGCCATATCTCCCAACATTTCAGATGGACAAACAGAATGCTTTAAATTTATTAATGACACGGAGGCTCCTATTATGCTATCTCTTTCTTACTTTATTCCTCAGCGGCAAAGAGAAATGTAAAACTGAAAGAGAAAAAATGTAGATATGCAATAATAATAATAATAACAGGTACAACCAGATCTGCCTAGTAACAGGGCAGCCAATCAGCTTAGTAGGAACAGTCCATAAATGCCTTGCTTAGTACTTCCACTTCCTCTTTCTTTGCTGCTGTCCTCAGACCAGCTAAGTATTAATTTCACTCCTGTATATTTTAATCTTGGATTGTTTTTATGGGTTTATCTACTGATATATTTAATGTATTCTGTACTTGTATGCTGCTTTGTGCACCCTATATGATTTCTGTGTTTTGCTTTGATGTTTTTTGGCACCCCTTTTGGGTGTCTCTGTTTCTTCCCCTGCTTTGCACGGTCTCCCTGCCTGTGCTGTACCTTTTGTGTGCACAGACATGGACCGCGGATCACTGGGGAAGCTGTTTTCTCGGGAGCTGCTGTGCTCCCTGACCGCCCTCCCTCCTCCCCTCGCGACCGCGTGTGCGGGCGCGTGCGGCGACCCGCTCTACCTCCGGCCGCGTGTGTTTTTTCCAGCGAGCTCCCCGGCCGTTGGCGGGGGAGGAGCTTGGGGCTGAGGCATGCTCTGCACGCGGCGGCCATCTTCTTTCACACATGTGGCTGCTGGCGGATGCGGCGGTCGGCTCCCTTTACCCCTGTTTTTTCTCCACAGGTATTTGCTTTGTGGGTTACTCAACCCCTGTTCTGTAGTTTAGGTTTTTACTCCATCATACTGTTATAACATTGTATTCTGAGACTGGTGGCCTGGCTCCCATAATATTTATTGTGGCTTAATATTTTATCTGTGTATATTTAAAGGGACATACCCCTTTTTATCCACAAGCTTATTTACCCTCCTGTCTATCATGCAGGCTAAGGGTGATGATTCTGGCTGTCCCAGCTACCCCACCATGGAAGCCTTTCAGGCCCCTATCTCAGGTGAAGGGGGTCTCACCCCCTCTCAGGAGTTCCAGGCCCTTATTGATTCTACTATGCAGAGGGCCCTGGCCTCTGCCATGGGGACAGTCTCATCATCGCTGTCTCACACTATCCAACAGGCCCTGACTCAGCCCTTGGCTTCTCTTATGTTGGCAAGCCCCCTGCCTGCGCTGCAACCTCAGGTCAGCCGCAAGGCATATGCCAAAACTAAGCATGTCTCCCCCGATATGACACAGGTGGTACCTGCCCTGACTGACGTGCCTATGGCCGTCCAAGATGGCGCGGCCAGAAAGTGGAAAAGGGCGCGTGCCCATGACAATGACGGGTCTGATTCAGATCCAAGTGGGAGACAGGTTCGGACACCCCCGACTACGCCTCTTATGAGGAAGGGGACTCCGACACGGAGGTGGAGTCTGACGCTTCGGCGTTACCTCCGAGTGAGGAACAAGGCATATGCGATCTGCAGGGTTACCCCCTGTTCGATCCTGATGACCTTCGCCACCCTCGCTCGGCGGAATGGGTCCCGCCCGAGCATATAGCTAGCTATCTAGCGCTTCGTATGCGTACCCCCTTATCCAAGGAAGGGCGCAGTAAGTTACGGGCCGAATGCCCAAGGCCCTCAGTGCCTGTGCGGCGTGTAAGACGCCAGAGGTTGACCCTCTGATCTCACAGTTCCTGACAAAAACGGGCTGGAAACCCAGAAAGGGTTTGGAGTTTTCACTCCATAATTGCCAGGACAAGATTTTGGACACTCTAGGTCCCGTGTGTGTCTAAAACAGGGGATACCCCCCTGGATTTCGATGTAGCAATAGGTTGGCATTGATTTGTGCAATGTACGGCTTTGTGTGCTTAAAATCGAACCAGTTAACCTTGCGGTCAAGGAACCGGGCGCTGCCGCTAAAGGCATGCTCTTTGGTGAGTCTTTTGTTAAAGACTTGGGCTCTTTTGTGCGCACCTTCACCGCCTTAGATAAGGCCCAATCCAACCTTAAGAGAGTTTTTGGTCCAAAGGCTTTCAACAGGGCCGGGAGGTATAGGAGCCGTCCGCCCGGCCGTGGAAATCGAGGTCCCTCACGGACTCAAAAAGGTTCCTTTGCTGCCCCCCGGGCCTATCAGGACTACAAACCCGCTCCCTTCTTTCCCTCCCACGGGAGGACATGGCAGAATCGGGGAGGACGTGGCCAACCCTCATACAGACGCCCTTACGGTGAGTACTCAAAAAGGTTTTTCTCTCCGGGCGAGTGTGGGAGGCAGGTTGGCTTTGTTTCTCGACATGTGGGGCATGATCACCATGGATGTGTGGGTGTTAAATACTATCAGAGGCTTTCGCCTGGATCTTTTGTCTCCCCCTATCCAGGTGGACTCACCTCAGGAACTGAGGTTGCCGGAAGATCAGTCCGGGCTGATTACCAAGGAGATCTCGGAACTTCTGGCCAAACGGGCAATACGATCATCCGGGATTTCTAAGCAACCTGTTCCTCGTCGCCAAGAAAGGCGGAGGTGTTCGGCTCCGGTGATCAATCTCAAGCGACTCAACGGATTCCTTCGTTACCATCACTTCAAGATGGAGGGCATACATTGCCTCAGAGATCTGCTTCGGCATACCTGACTATACCTATGGCAGAGGTACACTGGGACTTATTGCACTTTACGTGGCAGGGACGTCAGTGGAGGTTTACCTGTCTGCCCTTCGGTCTCTCTTCAGCACCTTGGTGCTTCACGAAGGTGATGAAGCCGGTGGTGGCGTTCCTCAGGTCGCGGGGCGTACGCATGATTATCTACCTGGACGACATACTGATTATGTCCGCGTCCCCCGATCAACTTCTACAACACCTGAGCTGGACGGTGAATCTTCTGGAGAGCTTAGGTTTTCTCATAAATTGGGAAAAGTCCATGGTGACCCCATCGCAGAAAATAGAATTTCTGGGTTTCAAAGTCGATTCGGTTGCCCAGTTTCTGTTACTTCCAGAGACCAAGCTAAAGGCTATGAAGAAAGAAATAAGACTTACTCTACGGACCACCAGTCTCTCCGTACAACAATTGGCGAGGGTCATTGATCTTTTGGCCTCCTCCATTCAGGCAATATTTCCGGGACCCCTACATTACGTACGAAAGCGAACTATGCCTGGACAGAGACTCCAAGGAGGAACTTCAATGGTGGTTGGATCATATGGAGGCATGGAATGGTCGAGCAATCTTCGGCACTGCCCTGGACATGGTGATAGAATCGGATGCCAGCCTGCATGGCTGGGGCGCTCGCTGTGGAGATGTCTCCACAGGTGGCAGATGGTCCGAAATCGAATCAAAGCTACACATCAACTGTCTGGAATTGCTGGCGGGATCGTTCGCTATTCGCAGCCTGTTTCCAACCCTGGGAAACTGCTGCGTCCTTCTGCGTATGGACAATGTGTCCCCGGTCAGATATATAAATCACCTAGGTGGCACGAAGTCAAAACAACTGGCGAATCTAGCGAAGGATTTCTGGCAGTTCTGCCTCCACAGCGCGGTGTCGGTCACGGCCGAACACATCCCGGGTTTGGACAAGGAATGGGCGGACTGGAATTCGCGATACTTGAAAGACTCTGGAGATTGGCATCTGTTACCTTCGATCTTCCAACAGATAGATCGACTATGGGGCCCGTTACAACTGGACCTGTTCGCATCCAGACTGAACGCTCAACTACCCCAATACTTCAGTTGGAGACCGGATCCATCAGCCACGGCGGTGGACGCGTTCCTGCAGATATGGCCTCGGGGTCGTCACTTTGCGTTTCCCCCTTTCAACCTGATCTCTCGGACGCTGGCATACTTGTCCGGACAAGAATGCACATTGGTGGTGATAGTTCCCCTATGGCAGACTCAGCCTTGGTTTCCACGTCTTTTGGAGATGGCGGCGGAGTGCCCACGGATGATCAGTATGCGATCAGAGGTGCTTCTGGATCCGGATGGGAACTCGCATGACTTAGTGGACCAGAACCTTCTCCAGCTCATGGCTTGGTTGATTTCCGGGGACCCTGGTGTGTCTCGGACGTTCCGAAGGCTACTACAAGACTCCTGGAGAATGCCTGGGCACCGGGGACCAGAACAGCTTACAAGGCTGCATGGCGTGTGCTGGTGCGTGGGCAGACTGCTGGATCCCCTTTCTGCCCCTCTGAAGGAGGTGCTCAGTTTTCTGACCAC